TCTTTCTTTAACATCGTGAGGGCAAGGCTGTAGATGAGGTTGAATACCAGCGCCCCTAATTTACACCCCTGCCGGCCCCCAGCGACGGTCACGATATAGGAGTCGCCCCCTGGGAGACGAAACCAAGCGCCGTGATGCAGAGAAGCGACCAGCTCACGCACCGCAGCATCAGCTCCGCACGCCTTCAGAAGACCGCCGGTCTCGTCGATCCACGCGGCCAGCTGCTGAGAGGAGTCCGAAGGGACTCCAAGTTTTTGCAAGAGGTCCCGCTTCTCGCGGACGTCACGGTTAGCTACGTCGGGCATCCATCCCATCACCACTTCCCGGATAGCGTAGTCGAAGGCTTTGGATAAGTCTACGAAGAGGGCGAAAAAGCTCCAGCCCTTCATGGCGCACATGTCCATGAAGGACCGCAACACCAGCGAGGCCACGGCCGTGCCCCTGTGCTTGACCGCACCGAACTGCGAGGGCCCGACGACGCGCAAGTACAAGTCATGGAGGCGGTCCTGGAGCAGGGAGGTGAGGATCTTGCCCGCATGGTCAGACACCAGGATCCCGCGGTAGTTGTCGGGATCAGTGGCGGCGCCCTTGCCTTTGTAGATCACTACGAGCTTGCCACCCCTCCAGACTATGGGGACATGCCTCACATGCGCGATATCATGGATAATGTCGGCGACGATTTCCGCAACGCGCCACCCACCAGCCTGCAGGATTATAGCGCCGAGGCCGTCCTCACCCACAGCACAATTACTTGCTAAAGAACTCAGCGCATCAAAAACCTGCTGCACCGAAGGGCTGAAGTTCATGCGACGAAGCTCAGGGGCAACATCCAGCACCATGAGGTCGGCAGAATCGTCGTCCGCACCGTCGTCCAACGGATGGCGCCTGGCGGACATGAAGGAAGCCACGGACGTAGCGGCAGCCGGGGGCGGTCGCCCAGTCGACGCAGGCGTCAGGCTAGAGTGGGCGTCCTCGCTGGGGGGCGCGATGTCCCTGAGGGACTCCACCTTGCTGGCTCTGAATAGCGTCGTGAAGTGCCGTCTCCACCTTGCTCGCACGCCTTCGGACGTGTCCAACATTGACCCGTCCTCGTTTGTGATCGTCGACAGAGGCGTGGGCGATGTCCCCGCCAAACGGCGCACGATATTATAGAGCTCCTTCGTGTCGTTCGCATCCGCCGCCTTCTGGGCACGGTCAGCGGCTTGCAACAGCGAGTGTTGCTTATCACGCAGAACGAAGGGGCCTTTCAGCTTGCAGACGCGATACAAAGACTGAACGGCTGACAGCTGTATGTCCACGCGAGCGGCCGCTCGAGTGTATATGTCGCACGCGTGGCCGATGGACACCAAGGCAACCGCCATCTTAGGAGAGGCTGCAAGCCAGAGCCTGAAGCCAAAGCTGAGAATCAAAGTTCTTCGCGCGGCCTTCAATCTCCTGGCCGCGCTTCGCAGAGTGTTTGAATGGCGTACCAAGCACCACGTTTCGTTGCTAAGCCAGCTCTTCCGCGGAGATCTGGTGAGAAGGGCAAAAGATTGCGAAGCAGCCCATCTCAAGTACTCTGTGAAGCTGGCAACGTAGTCGTCGAGGGCTTCCCTTTGCGCTCCCAATGGCTGAAAGCTATTCCGGACTGGATGCCAACAGTAATCGCCTAGAAGGCGCTGGAAGTACGTAGAGCACGCTGGATCGCGAACCGAGTCGTGAGAGTACCGAGGAGGCACGACGGCGCGTGGACGCAGCGAGGCAGTCGACACTCCAGACGCGACCACTTCTCTCTCCAGGACCGCGAGCAGACCAGCGAACTCAGCTTCGAGGACATTGTGATCATCTCGACACTTGGTGGCAAGATCGATATTGGCGTTAGTAATGCAAATCTTCACAGCGGCGGCGGTCCTCGGCTGAGTTAGGATGTAGTCGATGCGTGCGTGCGTGTTCTTGGAGCTGGTCCAAGTGTGCCCAGCGGGGAAGAAGGAGTTGACGACCGTAAGCCTGAGTTCAGTGGCCAGCAAACGCAGAGCAAGACCATTGTCTGTCTCGTCATCCGGCTGCACGCCACCGACGAACTCGTTCGTTGCGGAGCCAATCCTAGCGTTCGCATCGAGGCCCAAAAATATGATGTTCATATTGTCGGCGATGGTCGTGTCAAGGTCCACGAGGAGCTCATGCCAGAAGTCCGCCTTGTCCTCGGCAGGGGCGGCCTCGATGGGAGCGTGGCCAGACACGAAACGAAGCCGGAAAGGGCCAGCTTCAACAACAACGCGGAGGAGGCGAGGGGAGAGGGCCTTCACCGCCGTCACGAGGTGCTTCAGCTCGTGGCGGACCCATACCTGCGACCCGTCAGTGCCGGCCTCGGTGGAGCCGGCGCGGTACATCGTGTAGTGAGGGCCGCAGTGCTGCCCGTCACCTGGAATCCTGGCCTCCTGGATGCTCACGACATGGGCCCCAAATCTCCAGAACAAGTCGTCTAGAAAGAGCATCCGGGAAGTGGACCCGCATGCTTGTCTGGCACTCGCTCGTGCCAGCTCGCGCGGGTAGAGAGTGTTGACATTAGCGGTGGAGAACTTCAGCACGTCCAAGAGCTCGACGGCTGGTGAGGAAGATACTAGCGTAGACAACGAGAAAGGCGAAGGCTTGCTCGGCGCAGCCGGTCCCGCTGCGAATTACTGTGCATGCCATCCGCCACCACCACCGCGACGAAGATCACAGAGGAGGGGATGAGCATGTCTCCCTTGAACGAATTCGGTTGCGTCTGCGGAGAGGGTCACGCCCCTCCGGCCGCCGGTACAGCCGCTGGCGGGCCCCCCCCTGTCGGCTGAACGGCACTGGCATGAAGTAGCTGCTGTAAGTGGTCCCTGGCCCCCGGGACGGGTTGTTTTTGTTTTAGTGGTTGCCCAGGGGGGTGCTGGCCAGGAGCCTGGCCGCTGTCGATTGGTATTGAAGCTGCACTCGCCCTGGTGGAGATCTGGGTGAGGTTCTGAAAAAGGGCCGTCATCTGCTGCATCGTGGCTGCAATATCGACGCCCCCAACGGCTCCTGAGGTGCTCATCTCCTTGACAACGGCCTCCATCTCGGTCTGCAAGCGCTCGAGGCAATTCGTGGGGCGCTGCCGGGAAGCGTCCACGGCGACGCTCGATTCGAGCACCGCGAGGTCGGCCTCGAGGTTCGCTATCTGGGCGGTAGCGGTTTCCTTGGCGTTCTGGGCGGCCTGCAGGGCGGATTCTGCAGTCACCAGCCTCTGCTTTGCACGGCTGAGGGCCGCTTTGCAGGAGTCGATACGAGCACCAATAGGTTTGGCGTTGTTCAAGCGGGCCTTCACCTCGGAGATCTGCTGGATGATCGCAGACCGTGCCGTAGAGAAGCAGGCCTCGTCGGGCAGCAAGGCCAGGGACGCCTCGAGCTGCGTCAACTGCATGCGGTCGGTCTTCTCGTCGCTCGGCGGCGCCGCGCTGGTAGTCGGAGCCGGCACCGTAGATGGCGTGGCAGGCGAGGACATGGTGAGGTCGGTCTCGATGGTCTGCCCGAGCTGGCGAGTGATATCGGCCAACTGCTGCTGGAGAGTCTGGCCAGGAGACGAGACCCTGGTCCCACCCTGGTGCACGTGCGGGGTTTTGACGATTTCGGCATAAGACCTTTGCACTTTGCACTTTGCAGGTCCAGCACGTCTTGTGTTTGGGCCAATTCCATGCCTGGCACACCTTGCATTCCCAGCCAGCCGAGGACCAAGAGTTCGACGAAGTGCCATTGCCCCATTGCTTCGTCATGCGGTTCGGAGAGATACGACGTGCGGTGAGAACCACACGAAGGTCCGGACTCAAGCCCCACACCCTCTCAGGTAGGGGTGCTGGGAAAGCAGGAAGTGTAGATTACCCACAGAAAGCTTCTTGCTTTGGCTTGAGCCAAAATGGCTTGAGCCAAAATGGCTATATATATATATATACATATATATATATAAATCTATATATAAATATATATATATATATATATATATATATATATATATCCGCCGGCCCCCTTGTGGGGCCACCAAGCTGTAGGCACGGGTTCGCAGTTTCCAGTACCAGTTGTAGCTTGTAGTTTCCAGTGTTACAGTTCTGCTTCTTGCTGGTTACTGTAACTAGATGATTGACCGCGCGAGGGGGGGGAGGCCCAAACAGGATTTTCCAGCGTCCCCTGGGCGCGTTGTCTGAATTGCTGGGGGGGCTCGAAATCGACACCCCTCACGCAGATCCGCGGGGTCAGGATCCAAAAACACAGGGGATCTGCCACATTTCTGAAATTCGGTGCAACCCCTCACGCAGATCCGCGGGGTCAGGGTCCAAAAACACAGGGGATGTGCCACATTTCTGAAATTCGGCGCCACCCCTTACGCAGATCCGCGGGGTCAGGGTCCAAAAACACAGGGGATTTGCCACATTTCTGAAATTCCAACCCATCACGCACATCCATCGCAAGGCGTGGTAACCCAAACTGCGAGAACTCCCTCGGCCCTTTCATCGCAAGGTGTGGTAACCAAGCCCTTAAACCATACACGTCTTACCAATCGCCAGGTGTGGTAACCCCTCTTGTGATCAGTTGGTTTTGCTGATTGCGACTCGGCTTCGCATGAAGTTTCGATACTGCTTCACGACAGCGCCAAGGCCTCATGACTTAGCTCTTCCATGGCCCATTCTCCGAGAGAGGGGGCCGGCGGCAGGGGGCGAAGCCCTTACGGATATATAATGTGTCAAACTACGTGCGTGCTTGAACACAGATTTACGTACATAGGAGAAGACCATGCCTATGTGTGTATCTAATGAGGTATGTATATGTACAAACATCTGCATCTGCACCAATATACATATAGATATACGCAAATGTGATAAAACAAATGATATATATATATATATATATATATAAATATACATGTATAAGTATACATATATATAGAGAGATAATGATCATACACACAAGTCGAACCACGACGGCACAACCTTTCCGCTGGCGACTGGAGGCAGCAGCGCTGCCATGTGTAATAGTCGTGGATGACGTGCAACTGGCTTGCTTCCTCGGGAGGCCACCAACAGACACTGCCGGCCCACCACAACATCCGTCTCGGCCTGCGCTGGTTCTAATCCTCCATGACCCCTATTGCTGTTCCTCCTTGACCCTCATCGCTGCTCCTCTGTTACCTCATCGCCTCCTCCTTCCCCTCCCCATCCTGCTTCTCCACATCAGCACTCTCGTCCTACGTCCTCGCCGCCCTTCCTTCTAACTCCTCATTCGAATCTCTGCTGCCCTTCCTCCCACCATCCCGCATCCCGCCACTACTCTTCCTCATGTTCCTCCCTCGCTGCCCCGCCCCTCCCTCCTCCATCCTGGCTCCCTTTCCCTCCCCCTCCGTAATTGCTTCCCTTCCTCCTCGTGTATTCTCCCTTCTCATCACCAACCCCTACCCCGCCCTCCCTCCTTGCGGTTCCCTCTTCTCCTCCCCCTTGCCTCCTGCACCGCAGTGTCCCCGCGCGCCCCCTCGATTGGAGCCTCCCGGGCCCTCGCTCGTCTTCCCCTCCCAGCTCATCCCCTGATGGGCTTGCTTTCCACCACCACCACCACCATGAGTTGGATGGGGACGAGGAGGAGAGCGAGGAGGAGGAGGACGAAGAGGAGGAGTAGGAGGAGAGGAGGAGGAGGAGGACTCCCTCCCCCTCCAACTTATGGTGGTGGTGGTGGTGGAAAACACGCCCATCCCCCACCCCTAGCAGGGCACTGCTGGCGTGAGCACACATGACAACCGGCTGGCTCGAGGATGGCGGCCTTCGGAGAAGGCAAAAGTGAAGGGGCCCTGGGACACACAAACAAACATACACAAATAACAGGATTCCCCCCCCACTTCCCATATTTTCTGGGCAATCGACGATTAATTGTGTCTGTGTGTTTTTCCCTCCTGATTCCAGACGGGACCTGCCAAAACTCAACCCACAATGGCCAAAGGCAAGGCCTGGGCCCCGCTGGCCGATGAACCCCCCTCGATGGGATTATTAGCTATTACCCTCGGGTTTTGAGGGGTACACCCCCAGCTGGGGTGGTGAGACGGTGGGGGTCTGGATGGGGATGGGGAGATAATGGTCGGTTGAAAGGCATGGATATAAGGGCCTCCCGACCCCCGACCCTTCCCGCGATCCATCATCCTGGCTCGTCGTCCGAGCATTGTCCAAGACCGACGACGCTAAATCTCCAGAATCGCCCAAGAGCATCCGAAACGATGATGTACTACCGTCCGCATCCTTCCCTGAAGCTGGTGGCCACCTTGAAGGCCAGCCCACCTGGCCCTGTCCACTTCAGCGCGATCGCCAGGGGACGACGGCAACGGCGGCGGCAGACTACGAGGACGACGACGGCAGCAACGGCGACAGAGGGGGCCCCGGCCGCCCTCCCCACAGGGGGACCCAGGGCGAAGCCCTAGGTCGGGCATATCTTTCTACAAGCGGACGTTGGACGAAGCACAAACAAAAATCAATCCATGCAGGAGCACACCACAAGTAAAAACAAAAAATCGTCCCCAGACTATGTTGGACTACTTTTAAAGATTCCTCCTGTAGAGGGACATTCCCGACCTGAGCGAAGCCCCGGTGCAGGATCCAGCCGCCACGGGTGGGAACAAATAAACGAGAGAGCGTGATCCACCGCCGCTTTACTGTGGAAAATTGCAAACCTTTTCCTCCAGAACCCGGGGGTCGCCCCCCCCCCCCCCCTCCGAAAATCCCCCCCCCCTGCTGGACCCCCCCCCCTCCCCCGGCAAAGCCCCCCCCTAACACCTCCCCCCCCCCCTCCCCCTCGAAAACCGGGGGGGGTCACTACCGGTTCGAACCCCTCCCCCCCCCCTCCGGATCCGGAAAACCGGGGGGGGTCACTACCGGTTCGAACCCCCCCCCCCCTCGAAAACCGGAGGGGGATCACTACCGGTTCGAACCCCTCCCCACCCCCCCCCACTCACCGCCAGCAAACGACTCCCGGTCCCTACCACCGTCCGCATCACATCCCCCACTGTTGTTCCCAGCACCACTGTCCTCACCACCACTGTCCCCACTGTGTCCCCACCAGTGCCCCCACCACTGTCGCACTGTCCCCACTGTCCCCACCACTGTTCCCACCACGGTTCCACTCTCCCCACTGTCTCCACGGCCCCAACCACTGCCCGACTATCCCCACTGTCCCCACTGTCCCACTGACTCCGCCGCTGTCCCACTGAGCTGTCCCACTGTTCCCACCACTGTCCCCACTGTCCCCACCACTGTCCCCACTGTACCTCTGTCCCATTGTCCCACCGCCGTCCTCGCCACCGCCTTCACCACTGTCCCCACCACCATTGTACCCTCCGCTGTCCCACTGTTTCCACCTCATTCCCACTGTGCCCACACCACTGTCCCCACCACCACCGTCCCCACCACTGTCCACTGTCCCCCCTGTTCCCACCATTGTCCCCACCATTGTCCCCACCACTACCGTCCCCTCCACTGTCCCACTGTCCCATTGTCCCCACCACTGTCCCGCTGTCCCCTCACCACTGTCCCCACCCGCACCCCCACTCGGTTTTCGAGGGGGGGGGGGGTTCGAACCGGTAGTGACCCCCCCCGGTTTTCCGGAGGGGGGGGGGCAGGGGTTCGAACCGGTAGTGACCCCCCCCGGTTTTCCGCCAGCAGCGGTAGAACACGCTCTTTCAAATAAACAAATCGCATGGATTGGAATGGAACTGGCCAAAATCCAAAACATGTGCGCCGTTTTCAGCCATTGGGGACCGCTCATGGGCCCCGAGACCGTCAATCACCTACCCCGACGATGGCATTGTTTCCTGACCCCTCGTCGGCCGCTCAGTCCTGAGCGATCTCCATCGTCCGACAAAGAGGAGACCGTTCAAGACTGCCCTGGCACAGAACGCCGATGGCCCTGACTGAAGGGGCCCCAGGACACACAAATAAATACACACAAATAAAAATATTCTCGATATTTTCCCATAGTTTCTAGGTTTTTGTCTTCCCCCCCACTTCCCATATTTTCCGATATTTTCCTGGGAATCGACGATTAATTGTGTCTGTGTGTTCTTTCCCCTCCTGACTGACCCTCGAACGCACGCGCCGGCGTCCCCGCCGTGTCGACACCCCTCTCCCGCGGCTGCACGCAAAGAGTGCCCCTGGGCAAGAGTGACCTTTGGTGCGCGGCTTTCGCGGGGGGAAAACAAACCTACCTCGCTTTTGACCACCCTCGCTTCCAAGAGATACCAAACGATGCCAAATTGAAGCCTGTACTGGTCAGGCCGCTTGACGAGGAGGCGCGTGGTATGACTTGGTTTTGCCTGGAAGCGAAAGCGGGGTAGGTAATTCACGCTCTGATTCGCGGGGGGGGGACCCGCGGGAGGGCCCGACCCAAGCACGCAAGACGCTGCCATCGCATCGCGCTCGGCGATCGGGGGACGGCCACTCTTATGTGTAGTCGACCCCTCCCGCCCCGCCCACACCCCCACCCCTCTGGTTCTCCCCAACCCCCAGGAGGAGATACAGCTGGACTTGGCCAAAAGAACATCCCTCACGAACATGAGACAATCTGCCGGCCAACACACACACACAGAGCATCCAAGGGTAACCTCCGGTGCACAAAAACATCCAACGAACACGAAGAACATCAGGGCACCCTCCCCGAACCGGCCTACCTCGGTCCGACTGTAGTCGAGCCTCCTCAGGCCCGCCCGACGCCCTGGCCGTGCGAGCCCTAGGGTCCCGTTGGGCGGAGAAGAAACTTCGCGGAGCGGCCACCTCCACCATCCCGGCTAACCCAATCTCCCTACGCTGATCCAACTCACGCTGATTCCTCCTCCTCCCTTTTGCAGCAGCGACCGACACGACCGAGTCCGTTCGATGAGCCAGCTCCTCATCCTCCTCCTCCTCATCCTCCTCATCCTCCTCCTCCGCGTTGTCCTCCTCTTCCTCTTCCTCCTCCTCCTCCTCCGTCTCCTCCTCCTCCTCCTCCTCCTCCTCCCTTCTCCGCCCGAATTCGTCCTCCTTGTCCTTCCTGTCCCCTCCTGAACCATCCCCCCCGCCTCTCCAGCCATCCTCCCTCCCGCGCGCCCGCGAGCGGCGCGGGCACGACGGCGGCGGCGACGACGAGTGCCCAGCGACAAGAGTCCTAATTCGGTTGGCAGGCGGTGCTCGGGTAGCAGATTTTGCCATGGACGACCCTCTCTTGGGCCAGCTGGCAGCGTGAGCGGCTCTTCTGCTGGGGAGGGAGGAGAGAGTGGAGGAGAGAGGAGGGAGAGGGGGGGGATAAGAGGACGGAAGGTACGAATCACGAGGAGTGCAACCGAAGAGGCGAGAGGGAGTAGGGAGGAAGGACGAGGAAAATCACGAGAGGTGCAGGCAGGAAGAAGAAGACAGGATGAAGAAGAAGGTATGGAGGATCATAACCTATGAATAGATGCGTCACCTGTGAACAATAAACATGAGAGAGGGAGAGAGATAGAAAGAGATAGAGAGTGAAGGAGGGAGACTGTACAAACGTACCCCCATACATCGGAGGTTGGGAGCGTGAGATCGGCATGGAACGGAGACCCCCCGCTGGGATACCGGATTCGGCTTCGTGTTCGTGCCGTGCGCCCCAGCGAGGCGAAGCTGAGTGTGCGGGCGAGTGGGATGGTCCTGCCATTGCCAGGGCGAAATGAAATAACAAGACTCCTCTCCGCCGTTCAGTTTGGCCATCGATTGCCCCGTGCTTGTCCCACATGTGTCCCGATTGTTGTCCCGATGGTTGTCCTGGCAAAGTATTAGTCGACAAATAATGAGATCGAACGGCAGACGGTGATACAGATATACAAAGACATGGATCGATGCTTAAGGTGATTGCCAGGCCGGCAGGTACATTATGTAATCGATCTAATGTTGCAGATAGATCTATGCGGCAACATATATACAAGTAAACATGCGTTTGTTCACATGGCCTTACTATACGGAACGATGTACAATATACGGATGACGTATCCGGTCAGTTGATCCGTAGTGAAATCGGTATGTGTTTACAACACATCTATAAAAAAAAAATCACGCTGGGATCGCGATGCTGATAATGAAAACGATGGGTCGCAATACCGGTAGGAAGAAAATCAACAGAGAAAAGTTGTTGGGTGGATGGAAACGGTTGTCCCCTATGGTCGTCCAATACTTGGTTCCACTTCCCACCCAACCTCCTTCTTGGCATTTGGTCGCTCTTCTAAGACATGTGTATATGTATGTATATACCTATACGACCACCCTTCGCGTGATACGGAGGTTGTGCGGGGGGGGAGAGGGGGGCTCCGCAGATGGAGACGGACTTTCGGAAATCATCTTCTTCTGTCGGCACGATCATCTAACTTCGCGCGTCGGGATACCCGAAGCCCCATAGATGACGACGGCGACGTGGACCTCGGCATCGTCGACGCCGAGGATGACCACAACGATGTCGACGACGACGATGTCGACGACGACGCCGTCGATGGCGAGGACACTGACGTCGGCACACCGTCGGCACATCGTCTGCCACGGGCGCCTTGGAGGGGTGCCCCCGCGCACCGCGAGAGCAGCTGTGCCTGGCAGCCTCAGCTACTCCAGATTTTGTGATAAAAGGGAGGGGGTCTGGACCCTCCAAGACAGGCCATTTCAGACCCCCCCCCGTGGGAGAACCCTCCAAGACATCGTCCCCAGACCCCCCCAGGCCCTCCAAGATAACCTGGAAGAGACCCCCCCCGAAATGAGACCCCCCTCCCTTTACAACGAAATCTGGAGTACTGAGGCGAGCGGCCGCCCCTGGAGACGACCACCTCGGCCCCCCCGCCAAGACAGAGCCGGGAACGGGGCAACATCGGATCGGGACCAGTCGGGGGCCCCGGAGATCCGACGGCTCTCGGGGCACCCCATCGGGCGCCGCGGCCGCTCCAGAGCATGCCGGACCGCTCAGAGAGCGTGCCGGCACGCCCTGGAGGGCGGCTCGTCCCGATCCTGGGCCAGCCCTGTCGTCAAAATGCCCGTGGCGGTCGGGAAACTCGCCCAGGTCACCTGGCTTCTCGCCCTGCGCTGCGTGAAGCCCGGTACTCCTCGCGCCCTCGCGCCAACCCATGCGGAGAAAGCAGCTCTCGGGCACAGGCAGCGCACCCTGATGGGCAGGACCGTTTGCCAGATCGGGGCCGCTGGCAATGCAGCGACGGATACCCACGCGAAGGTTGCGCCCTGGTGATCAGTATTGTATCTGGAAGCGGGGTTCTGCCAACACAACTATTACCAGCCGGGAACATATCCCTATCCCTATGCTGGGCATCTCCTCATCACGATGCCAGTCTTAGGGGTTCCCTTCATTTTTGAGGGCGCATCCCTAAGATTGTCATCGCTTTTTGGCGTGTCAGTCTTGGGGGTAGGGATCAGTTCGAGGCTGGTAAAAACTGATCAACGGGGGCCCGCGTGCGTCACGTGAGCGCTGCACCCTGGGGGAGCAGAGCCGTAGCCTCGCGCCCCTGCGGATGGCCTCGTTCGCTGGGCCCGCTTCCCCTCTGGCGTGCCTGCCTTTCCCAGCGGGCACACGATCCTGGAGAACGCCCGGACATGGAACTTTGGCTCCGCGCATTGCTGGACTCTCTCCCCGACCGGACTTGCGCAGGAAAATCCCCCCATAGCGTTCCCAAAACGAATGCTGACGATGACTTTTCAGCTGTCGGCCTTTTCCCCCGAGCGTCGGCTCCATGTCTCCAGCCTGGCGAGGTATGCTAGCACACCCCCCGAAGAGAAGCCTCGCCGCGACAGCTAAGGCAGGACAGCCGGCATCCTGAATTGGGGAGCCACAGGGAAGTGTACCAACCAATGCAACCTCTACCTTTTTCAACTCTCTCGTTCTATCGCTCTCTCTCTCTCTCTCGCTCTCTCAGTGTCAGATCTCTCTCAATCTCCCTCTGTCTCCCCCTTTTTTCGTTCTTTCTCTCTCTCTTTCTCTTTCTCGTTCTTTGTTTATGTCTCTCTTTCTCTCTTTTTGTTTCTCTCTCTCTCTCTCCCACCCCTGGAGGTCCTATCACCTTCCACTTCCTCTACCTGCTCATCTCGCTCGTTTGCTTGCTAGCTTGGACTTCGCCACCGGTAATTTCTCTCAAGCGTTTCAATGCGGGTTGATCCCGATGCCAAGGTGTGCTCACAGCCGGGTCCGTGACACCGCCTCTCACAAAAGAGGCTCGAGACTACCAGCGGTATCAACAGCATTGGTGGCGGCACGGGACAAGGACTCTCTTACCTCTTGGTTTGGTACGGCCCCGAATGGGCGACGGGAAGCAAATGATCGCGCCCCAATTGTGTACGCTACACATGTTGAGTCCAACTAGCAACGAGTTGTTCCCAACCATCCTGTGGTGTTGGGTCCTCGTTTTGAAGAGACGGTGCCCCGCGTTCCCTCCTTCCTCCTCTCCTCCCCCCCCTCCTCCCTCCTCCATTTCGGCACACCCCTCACACGTTTCGTGGCCCCATAGGGAGCTCCACCGACGGCCCCAATGCTGCCGCCCGCATGCGTCCCGCACACCCATTTCGGCACACCACTCACACGTTTCGTGGCCCCATAGGGAGCTCCACCGAAAGCCCCGGTGCTGCCGCCCGCATGCGTCCCGCACACCCATGTCGGCACACCCCTCGCACGCTTCGTGGCCCCATAGGGAGCTCCACCGAAGACCCCAGTGCTGCCGCCCGCATGAGTCCCGCACGCCCAATTCGGCACACCCCTCACACGTTTCGTGGCCCCATAAGGAGCTCTACCGACGGCACCCATAGGGAGCTCCACCGAAGGCCCCTGTGCTGCCGCCCGCATGCGTCACGCACACCCAATACGGCACACCCCTCACACGCTTCGTGGCCCCATAGGGAGCCCCACCGAAGGCCCCAGCGCCACCGCCCGCATGCGTCCCGCACACCCAATTCGGCACACCCTTCACACGTTTCGTGGCCCCATAGGGAGCTCCACCGAAGGCCTCAGTGCTGCCGCCCGCATGCGTCCCGCACACGGAATTCGGTATACCCCTCACACGTTTCGTGGACGTCATAGGGAGCTCCACCGAAAGCCCCAGTGCTCCCGCCCGCATGCGTCCCGCACACCCACTTCGGCACACCCCTCACACGTTTCGTGGCTTCTTAGGGAGCTCCACCGAAGGCCCCAGTGCTGCCGCCCGCATGCGTCCCGCACACCCAATTCGGCACACCCCTCACACGCTTCGTGGCTCCATAGGGAGCTCCACCGAAAGCCCCAGTGCTCCCGCCCGCATGCGTCCCGCACACCCGTTTCGGCACACCCCTCACACGTTTCGTGGCTCCATAGGGAGCCCCACCGAAGGCCCCAGCGCCACCGCCCGCATGCGTCCCGCACACCCAATTCGGCACCCCATAGGGAGCTCCACCGAAGGCCCCAGTGCTGCCGCCCGCATGCGTCCCGCACACCCAATTCGGCACACCCCTCACACGCTTCGTGGCCCCATAAGGAGCTCCACCGACGGCCCCAGTGCTGCCGCCCGCATGCGTCCCGCACACCCCTTTCGGCACACCCCTCACACGTTTCGTGGCTTCTTAGGGAGCTCCACCGAAGGCCCCGGTGCTGCCGCCCGCATGCGTCCCGCACACCCAATTCGGCACACTCTTCACACGCTTCGTGGCCCCATAGGGAGCCCCACCGAAGGCCCCAGTGGCGGCGCTCACATGCGCATGCGTCCCGCACACCCACTTCGGCACACCCCTCACACGTTTCGTGGCCCCATAGGGAGCTCCACCGGAGGCCCCAGTGGCGGCGCTCACATGCGTCACCCACACCCACCCAATTCGGCACACCCCTCCCACGCTTCGTGGCCCCATAGGGAGCTCCACCGAAAGCCCCAGTGGCCGCGCTCACATGCGTCCCCGCCACCCATCCCAGCACGCCCCTCACAGGTTTCGTGGAACCATTGGGAGCTCCACCGAAGGCCCCAGTGGCACCGCCCGCATGGGTCACCCACACCCAAGTCGGCACACCCCTCACACGTTTCGTGGCCCCATAGGGAGCTGCACCGAAGGCCCCAGTGGCGGCGCTCACATGCGCCCCCGCCACACATCCCAGTACACCCCCCACACGATTCGTGGCCCCATAGGGAGCTCCACCGAAGGCCCCAGTAGCGGCACTTGCATGCGTCTCCGCCACCCATCCCGGCACCCCCCCGCATGTTGCGGGGCCC